CGAATTCGCCGATATATGACATTCCATCTTTTGACCTTTACTTTTGCGTTTACTATATAACAGTGATTAAATTTGAAAAACATGTACAATAGACACCGGTTTTAAATTTTTTTTCGACCAACGAAAATAATCCAGAAAAGGACAAATGCTTTGGGAGCGCGACTAGAAAAGGTTTCGGTTTCGGTTTCATCTCCGGCTTTGGACAATTTGCTGGTGCGATGCTCTTGGATATTATGTAATAAGTGTCGGTCCTTGGCGCGTGACTGACTGGTCAGTTGGAATTTGGAATCGTTCGATTTCGATCCATGTTGAATCCGAATGGGGCACGTGCATGGCCAAAATCTCTATCTGTATCTGTAACTGTATCTGTTTCTGTATCTGTATGTGCGTACGCTCTTTGGACTCCACACCCCTGGGCTTATTTTGCCGAATGCCGACCAGTTGCAACCGCAGTGATGTGGGTGGGTGGTAATGGGTGGTTGGGTGGCCCAGCGGCTAGGTAACCGACAATTATTCATTGCGCATACGACGCGTTGGACGCGCTAATTAGACACTGCAGCTGCTGCAGCTGTCGATAATGAAGCCGCTTCTGCTTGCAGCTTTTGCAGTTGTAAGCTATATGATTATGCTGCCGCTTCGGCTGCCACACCCACCCTGCCACCCCGTCTGGGCACGATGAACGCCCACCCAAAGGGGAAAGGGGCAGCCTGCTTAAGCTGTGAAGCACGTCCTCTCTGAGCCGTGGCCATCTGACGTGGCATGCATTCCACACTCCCCCAGCTGCGATGCTAAATGGCCGCGTGCAAACTTTGCTGCCGGCCAAAGGCAAACCGGCCAAGAACCAAGAACCAAGAACCCAGTAACAAGTAACAAAAGTGCGGCAGCACAAGTTTCTCCTTTCTGGTCAAAAAGCAGAAAAAAAAAATAAAGAAAATCATTAGAAAAGAAAATAGAAGAGGCGAACTAAGGGACACGAAGAAGTTTCTCTGGCAAAGAATCAGCAGCCTGATTGCGGCACCAGATCAAAGGCACGGGGTTTGTAATGGCATTCTGGATGACATCAGCTCAAAACTGGAGCACACTGGCGGCTCGCCATCGAATTCAACAACTTTTAGGGCTCGAGCAATAACACTTGAGCAAAGAAAAATCATAAATTGTTCGGGAATATTAAAGACGTTTGCAAAAGATACACATTTTATAAAATTCAATTTCATTTGAGTTTATTTATACGAAGAACGACAAGTAAAAGGTATTTTCCTAGTAGGAAAACTTAAAAGTTTATATTTTAAAACAACAATTTAATATAATTTGTTTTCTTTGTTTGTATTTGTTATTATTTTAAAGTCGTCATCGAGTTTGAAAACTTTTTGTGACCATGCAGTACCACTTGAACAAAGAAACAACAAAAATTGTTTAGAAAAAATAAAGATTTGGTCAGAAGCAAAACATTTTTATCAAATTCAAAATGAATAATATTAAAAACTACACGAAATTAAAGATCTTAGCTAAAACTCATAAATTATTGAAATAGTCAGTCCAAAATTGAGAAGTAAAATGTAGTTTCTTAGCAGGAAAACTTAAAAGTATATATTTTTAAACCAAAAATTTAATATCATTTTATTTTTTTTATTTTTTGCTTGTAGAGTAAATATGCTCTAGTTCAACAATGTATTTAAGAGTTTTTTATGTGGCATGTTCAAGCTGCGTTTGTCACCGGATTGTGAACTCACAAAGAGCTTTTTATATTCGATATTTTTACCATATATACCCGTGCATATGGCAGATGAGCATTCTGCATGGGTGTTGTATAAATAAGAAATGTTCCCGCATCCCTTTGCGTTGATTGTTGCTCCTGTTTATATTGTTTTTGCTGCTGCTGTTGATGTTGCTGGTGTACTTGTGTCGCTGTTGTCGCCGTCGCCGTCGTTGTCGTTGTCGTTGTCGTTGTCGCTTTTATTGCCCGGCTGTCAATATCCGTGTCCGCATCCGTTGGCATATTCGTCTGCGTTTGGGCCTCCGATTCGCAGGCACTTTGCACACTGACCTTTGACTCCCACGTGGCCCATCAGCCAGGTCCTGTCGCTCCTTCTGCTCTCTCTGCTCCTGCTGCTCCTGTGTTGCATGATCCGACCTTAAGGATGTGTGTGTGTGTGTGTGGCCATAAACAACAGGATATGAAATGACTGCCTCGAGTGGCCCCGAGCACAGGGATCTGGGCGCCACACCCTTACACCCAGAATAAAAACTGCAAATTTAGTTTTAATAAGTATAAGTATTAATTCAATATTAAATAACATAACTATAATTTGTAGTTTAATTTCTAAACCTAGACTACAATTCTATACCGAAGAGTCTAAAAATGTAATTCGACTACAATTTTAGACTCTTCGGTATAGAAATGTAGTCTAATTACAGTTTTCGACTCTAAATAGAGTTTTAGACTCTTCGGTATAGAAATATAAATAAAACGTATAGGACTAATAATATTTAGTTATGAACTAATACTTATTTTTAAACCACATATGTTTAATTTTGATACTTTTGTGGCATTCATTTATTACTAATCGTATGATGAAATTTAGTTTAAAATTGATGTAGCCATAGGTTCGTTTCTTTGACAATTTTTTTTGAGTGCACCCACTCCTGACCCTTAACACCGATGTCCATTCTGCTCCCGCTTCTGATGCCCTTGGCTACGCACGATTTAAATTAAATTGCACTTGACGCATTTTCCGGCAGGAAGAGGAACTGTCGGAGCTGGCGAAGCAGGAGCCACAGAGACACGGCCCTCTGACATGGGACTCTCATGCACCACACCTCCCATCGTGATTCAATTAGTGCGCCTAGGTCGGGGCCAGATGCTCCTGTTGGTCCTCCGTGGCACTGCTTCCTGGCCATCTGGAGGCCAAGTGGCCGTAAATAAATAATAAATGTAATCCAACACCCATCGCAGGTGCAGGACCATGAAGGATGGGTGGAGCAGGAAAGGATTGCGTCGGTCGGGGTCATTGAACCAGCAGAGATCACAGGTCAGGATGGATGGATGGATAAATGGATCAATGGACGGAAAAACCTATGGCTGGGAAAATTAATGGGGAGAATGGGAGGTTAAACTGGTAAATGGGCAAATCAATAGAAGGAAATCATAAGAAAAGCGTTAAAGTAACAATAATAAATAGATAGCTATTGTAAATGAAGACCTTAATTAAATGTCAAAGCACAAATTAGTAAAATAATTAAATATCTTTGATTTTCGTTTTAAATTATTGTGTGTTTTTTTAAGAGAACATCTTATGATAAAAATATTCAATTGTGTATCCTATAAATTTTAAGATAATAAAATGAGCCTCTATTAAAAATAATTTATAGATGCATGCAAAAGAAACACATTTTATCAACCTCAAATGGAATTATATTTTTAAAAACATTCTCTAAGCAAAAATTAACTAACAATCAAACAATTTTGATTTAATCTACAAATGATTATTTTTTTAGAGAGCACTTATTTTATCAAATAGTTAAATTGCCCATACTTGTATAAATTTGTAGAAAATGAAGAAGAACCCTCCACGGTTCAATAAATATATTTCGGAAAAATACGTTTGCGGAAAAATAAATAAGCCCTCGGAAAATAATTCTGTTAAGTATCCTTGGTCATCGTCTAACTCAATTTGGGTTCAGCCAATTCCATGATAAAATAGTTCCATCAACTAAACGAGATTATCCTCGAACACTCAGTAAGCAGGAATCTCCGGCAGAATCAGGGGACCACATGGAATCCGCAATAACCGGGCTTCCCAGCAAAAGAAACCAAAAGAAAGGGGGCGTGGCGAAAGTTAAGGCAAGTATGAAGAAGGAAGCTGGCAGTGCACACAGAAATCTAATTTAAAATCTGCACACATGTGGACCTGGGCGGTGGTGGGTGGATTTTGGGGGAGGGGTCAAAGGTTCAGCGACAGACAACAGATGGGCGTTCTGGAGCACCTGTGCATGCTTGGCAAGAGCCAAAGGTCGCCGTGGCTAGCAGACGACAAAACAAAATCAAAGTCACCCTTTGCGCTTTCGAAGGATACTCATGTGCGGAGTGGAGTGGACTTGCGATTTAATCTTATAATGATGCTGGTCGCCGACGACCGAGTTCCAGTTCCAAGTCCCGAGTTCCCAAGTCCCAGTTTCAGTATCTCTGTATCTCCACCTCGAATTCCGGTGCCTTATTTACACATCCTCGCAGTTTATCGCTTGAAGGGATGCCAGATGGCAGATGCCAGAGGCCGGTGAAGTTGGGTCCCGATTACAGGCAGGCACACACCTGCCCTCCAGCATCCTTTCGTTGCATTCTTCTCCGCCAGCAGGACTCTCACTCCCCGTTCAACTATTAGGAGCTGCCAGGGATTCAAACAATTTTCGAGCAGAATGCTGGTCTCTGCGGCAGAACCAACTCCATTTCGAGTTCAGGTACACTGGAAAAAACACTGTTGCAGCTCTTCACTTTTGCCCTATTTTGCAACAAAAAATATGTGATTTTTAGTGCGCTACCAAGAATTTTCGATCACTATTTAAATTAATAAGTTTTAATATTAACATTAAATGCCACGATCCATTAAGGAACTTAACTTTCGCATTATTTTGCATACAAAAATGGTATCTCTTTAGTTCACATATTCTTTTACATTCGAAAGCCTGAAAGTATTATTTCAATTAATAATATACATACATACATAAAATAAGAAACTAGGTTTTACATGTGTGCTAAAATTCTTTATAAAATGATTAATAAAATATTATATTAAAAATACGATTTATGAATACGATTTATGATTTATTAATGTCGGATATAAGCTCCTGTTTTTAAGCAGTATCTATTCTTAAATTCTACCAGTGCTAGTACGTTTTAAAATTATTAAAAGGATGCTATATTAAAAAGACAATATATTTTTTTTTTGCCATGATTTAATAATGTGGATTATTGACATATGATTTTTTCCAAAAAAAAACACCTCTTTTCAAGCAATATCTATGCGTAAACAGTAATATTTCCTCGAGTGTGCTAGTAGGCATTCCCAGTCCACATTCTAATCCCCTTTGGAAAAATGCTTGATGCTCCTGGCATCATTCCCGCAGGACCAACAACAGGATGAAAGAATTCAAGGGGAATCCCTGCGTTTCGCAAATGCATTTACATTTATGTGGAGTCAAGTGGCTTGTTAACGGTTAATTTGCTGCAACTGAAATGAATGTGAAAGGTATACACTCTAGGGAGCTTTGTTCTGCGATCCGGCGGACAGGTTGTCCGCCTCCTCCGCTTGCTGAGGTTCCCTCTGTTGATCCACCTCCACCTCCACCGTGGACTGCGAGGGAAAGAGACCCACTCCGTAGGTGCGCTCGTCGGTGACCTCGAGACTCAGCACGGACGTGGAGGTCACCAGGGTGGTGTTCGGCTTGATGCCATATTTGCCCAGCCTCTCGCCCTTCTCGCTGGCAATCGTGTCCGTCCGCAGGTACTCCGCCCCCCTCCTGGTGATCACACACAGATCGATGTTCGATCCGGAGCCCAAATCGTTGAACACCCCCGCCGAGATGGCCTCTCGCACCAGCTGCTTGCCCTGTTCCCGATTCAAATCCGGTCGCCAGTTGTGCTCCAGCACGGACATCGCGGCCAGGGTGCCCGATCCCATGGCCGCATACGGAATCTTGTCGTTCGACCCGCACGGATAGATGCAGTAGATCTGAGGACCCGTCTTGTCCACTCCGCCCATTACCAGGGCGGCTCCAATGTGCCCCTGGTAGCGGAACAGGGTCCTCCGCAACAGCATGCTGGCGCACACCACCGGCACCTGCCGCCCCGTGTTCAACTGATGCAGGTCCAGCTCCGAGGAGGTCATCAGGGTCATCATCTCCGTGTCGGCAGCGGTGCCAGCTCCACAGCAACTGCAACGGGATTAGATATTTTGAAATCTGTAGCTAGGAATTTCCAAAGTTTCCCAATTTGTGCCCCTAAGTTTTAAAATTAAAAAAAAAAAACATCAAAATCCATATATTAAACGAATGAGCACAAAGAAAGTATTTATTTAAGTTTTAAATTTTTAATCAATTTTATTGAAAATAAAAAAAAAATTGATGAAGTCCAAGTATGAGTAACTTAAATTTTCAGGGACCGTAAACACTAAAAGTTTTATTTTAAAATTATTTTTATTTTCTTTGATGATAATAAAACTTATTTTTAAAATGCGGTTTTTGTGTGCACATTCTTGACTATATTTTTCCATAAACTTTTTAAACGAAAATGTCTTACAGCAAAATCTAAACTAAAAACAAGAAAGAAAGCAAACTTCGGCAAGCCGAAGTTCATATACCCTTGCAGCTATTGCATGAATTAAATACTTTTGAAAACATTTAAATTATGATTTACTTGAGTATATGCTGAAAAACATTGAAACTATGATGATTTGCAGCTCAATTATTAGATAGTTATTTTATATATTTTTATTATTTCTATGGGAGCTATATGCTATAGACGTCCGATTTTGATAAAATTTAAAACATAATTCTGAAATAATTAAACATTGCTATATGTCGAAGAACTAAAAAAAAAATTAAAAAACAGAAAAGTTATAATTTTTTTTCATTTATTTTTCCGATTGTTCCTATGGGAGCTATATGCTATAGTCGTCCGATTTTGATGAAATTTTAATCATAATTCTGAAATATTTAACCATTACTATATCTCGAAGAACTTAACAAAAAATTAAAAAACAGCAAACTTATAATTTTTTTTCATTTATTTTTCCGATTGTTCCTATGGGAGCTATATGCTATAGTCGACCGATTTTGATGAAATTTAAAACGTAAATCGGAAATAGTTAACCATTACTATATGTCGAAGAACTAAACAAAAAATTAAAAAACAGCAAAGTTATAATTTTTTTTCAATTATTTTTCCGATTGTTCCTATGGGAGCTATATGCTATAGTCGTCCGATCCGGCTCGTTCCGACTTATATACTACCTGCAATAGAAAGACAACTTTTGGGAAAGTTTCATGCAGATAGCTTTAAAACTGAGAGACTAGTTTGCATATAAACGGACGGACAGACGGACAGACGGACGGACAGACGGACAGACGGACAGACGGACAGACGGACGGACAGACGGACATGGCTAGATCGACTCTACTAGTGATGCTGATCAAGAATATATATACTTTATAGGGTCGGAAACGTCTCCTTCACTGCGTTGCAAACTTCTGACTGAAATTATAATACCCTCTGCAAGGGTATAAAAAAAGAGGACTAAAAATAACTTAATAGTAATACCATGCCTAGATAAAAAAACCACTCACTATATGTGATCCTGCAGGTGGTGAATTTTGGAGCAGTTCTTGTCGGAGACAATGGGTCCTTCGGTGGCGCGTGTGTCGGCGCCCAGGATAACGCCATCCTGATAGATAATGCCCACGATGGAGGTGCCCGTGCGCACCGCTTTCGGGGGCTCAAATCCCCGGGCCAGGAGTTCAGCGTTTCTGAAATTTAAGAACTTAGCTCGGAACTATGGACAGAATGAATAACAACAGTTTACCGCCTGCAATTGACGAAACTGAATCCGCATCGTGTTCCATGAACATCCGGCAACTGGCTTGGAGCCGCTTTTGGAGCTGAGAACGGGAAAATCATGGCGTCGGTTATGTCTAATTGAAGTATTACTGAAAATCCCAAAGTTTTGTAGCTGAAAATGTGTAGCACTGAATAAAATGGGAGGAAAATTGCGATTAACTAGACAAGAAAATCTACGAAAACTTAACTTAACATATAATGCTACATATTCTTATTTTAGTCAAAGATTTTTGAAAAGTTATTCCAATTTAGATTCAAAATTATTTAATGCACATATGACATATTGATGCTATTATGTCCTTTCAAATCTCTTTTCTCTGATAATTTGATAATTTAAGTTTAAAAAGTTTGTCTATGAGCCAAAAAATGTTTCAAAGAATTGAAACCTTTTTTTAACACAGCAATTGTTTGCCTTTTTAAATGAAGAGAATCAGTTTTTTATTTATGAAAATGAGTTTAATTGTCTCTCTTGGTAGATAAAATGTGGTACTTAAAAAAAGGAAATAATTTTAAAACGGCATTCTTTGGACCAATTGAGCATGGGCCTTAACGAAAAGAAAGCGAAAATGTGCAGTGAGGTGGAAAGCTATCATAAAAATATGAGAGGCCGGTGGAAAATCATCCATTCAGGGGCAGCCTCCACCCGTTTTCCGACTGCATTTCAAATGCCAAACAATTTGACAGAGCTTAATTGGTTGCCCAGCCCACGAATTTGCATGCGTGTGTGTGGTCGAAAGTTTGTCCATCTGACAGGATGTACATATACATGCATGTGTTTGTCCTTTGGCCCAGTGGTGCGGTGTGTGTGTGAGTGTGTGTGGCTTTGTATGTGTATGGGCGCTCTACAGTATAATCCAAGGACATGGACACTTAAGCCACGGGAAGGGGTCCTTGTAACTTGGTCAGATATCCTGACACCGGCACATGTCGCACAAATCAATTAGCATTAATTAGAATCCAATTATATTTTAATCAACATTTGGCCAGTAAACTGAAACTGCAGCGAATGTTTCACTGTGTGCGCTTTTCACTTCAAGCTGTGATTTCACTTGCAACGAATCATGCGAATCATGCGAATCATGCAACCAACTTTGGCAACTCAATTGCGTGGGCGGACCAAGAGAACTTCCACAGACCGCTTGTCCCACGGAAAAATATAAATAAACATTTTTAAACCTTTTTTTTTTTTTTGTACAAGTATTTCTGGTATATTTCGCTTGGAATAATTCGCATCAAGCTCCAGTGAAATTGTTTGCCACTTGAGTGAATTTTAAAGTGCCGACTAAATAATAATACAATTGTCTGATTTCAACAAATACATTTTTATTGTAAACAAAAAAATAAAAATGTACTTTGTAGCTTAATATAGATTTTTTAATATCAAAGAAAAAATATTCTGGGCAACTAAAACGAAAACGCAAATAATGTGTTCATTAATTTTTTATTTATAAATATTAACAGCCAAATTTCTCATTTATGCTTTTGGCTTACTCTGTACGCAATAGAAGTATGAATTAATAATTTATCGTTTATTTTTCGTTTATGTCCCAAAATAATACCTTCATAACCAAAAAACAATTCACTTACTTACTTAGCCAGTAAGAAAGTAAACTTTTTTTTAAGTGTGCACAAAACAAGTCGGGTTTTCTCTCGCTGCATTTTCCAGCCTCGAAAAACTTTTCCTCAGCAATTTGGGGCCAGAAAACTTTTGCAACAAATGCAAATGCAGCTGGAACAATTTTCTTTTTTGGCGCTTAGCGTTGCTTTTCGGAATATTTTGGGTTGGGCTTTTTAGTTTTTTTTTTAGCTTTTAGAGTTTTCGCATTCGGACAGCAGTTGGCTTTTCAATTAGACTGCTCCACCTGGCCAGGAAAATTCAGCGACAATCGACATCCGATTGGAGGCCTAAAAATGGGGAACTAATCAAAAAGTTGGCAATCAATTTTGATTTCTGTTTTGTTAACAGCGATTGGAAAAGTTTGACGACCTCTTTTACCCATACAAAACAAAAAAAACGAACGGCCAAAAAAACAAGCAACACAAAATCGAACAGGTTGTTTTACCCGCCATCGGAATCCCTTTTATTTGATTTTTTTTGGGTTCCCTTTTTTGCGGTTGTAACTTTTCCCAGAATAATTATGGGGGCTTGACTCCAGCTTCTGACAAAGGTTGCGTCCTTAGCTGATTGGGAGATTAAAATTTAATAAGATTATAAAGTCATTTCGGGCTTGTCGCTTCGATGTTTATTGGGGTTTGTATCTGGCACTTTGGGTGTGCATGGTGTTCGTCGTAAATAAGGACATAAATAATTAAGATTATGGCTGGCTATTGATTGATTCTCCAAAAGGGCATCTGATTTAGCTCAAACGTCTATAAAACAGCTCAATTGCTTGGTAGTCCGATGTAATTTATGAGTAAAATTCATAATAACGAGCAAATTAAAAGTCGAATTTATATTTTACTTTTGTATACCCTTGCAAAGGGTTTTATAATTTCAGTAAGAAGTTAGCAATGCAGAAATGGAGACATTTCCGACTGTATAAAGTATATACCCCCAGTATATTACCAACAATTTTTTTTAATCATGATTTTTTCCCAATATTGGCAGAAGTTAAACAGTTAAAGTGCCATTCTTCCCTTCTTGATTTTCTTTTAACTTGTCTTTTGCTCTGCAATCGATTGGTAATATTGCTACCTTTTAGCTATTTCCACTTGAAAAATTTCTTTGCTTTGGATGAAGACTTTAATTTTACGTTTCAAAATCAGAGAGCGTTTTATTTTAGAAAATTTTTGCCTTACCCGCTCTCATATTTCGCATTTGCTGATGACTTTGGATTGGCAGAGCCCCCTTTTCCGCAAAATGCCGCCATGACGAGTCCTTTGATGTTGCCGTCCATTTTTCAATTCCCGGCCGTCGAGGAAAAGCTATTCCCAGTCGGGTGACCACTGCATCCTCGTGGACCGCTGCACTCGCTATTAGCACACATCCATCCGCATCCGCATCCACATCCACATCCTCATCCATCCACTGCCAAAGGGCAAACGACCTTTGAGCCATTGTGCGGAATCCAGTTGGCACTTTTATGCGGCAGTTGAGCGTCAAAGCGCGACCAGGATAATGGACACATCAAGCCGGAGGTGAAGTCTGCATGAACCGAAAAATCTAAAATTTACGATAAAACACTGAATAGCTTGCTGAAAACTTTTAGTAAATATGTTCTTCTTTGTACATTCACACAAACTTGATTCGGAGCTGTCACTGTATTTATTTTTCAACCGAATATCATAATTTATTATCATTGATTTGAAATTTAGACAATTACAACTAATCAATTATTCAGTTTGGTAATAATTAAACATCTATTATATATATAAATATAAAATAAATATATATAAATAAAATATATGAAAAAGACATACAAATACATACAAGTATTTAATATTATAATCAAAAAATTTCAAATGATATATGCGGTTGCTATTTTTTTAAACTTTTTTTATAAGTCTAAGAATACTTTTTTCCAGAGTGCACAAAACACTAAGTTATATTACCATCTAGTCGATTGCGTACATTTTTGTTAAGTGTGAAAAACAATTGCTTAAAAAATAAGTTTCCGTGTTGTGCTGTGTTGAGTTAAATACTGGTCGATGGATTGCAGTAAAATTGGGCGAAAAACTCCTGGGGAGTCAATGGTCTGGAAGCGCGATTAAGGCCAGGAACAACTGGCGAAGGAGTGAAACCAGGAACAGGAGCTGAAATGAAGCGAGATGAGGGCTGGAGCTGCAACCGCATAATTCAATTAGTTATAGTCGTGCTGACTATGCCCGTGCCCCGTTATCCTTTGCCCCAAAGCCCGTGGAATGTGCAACATGTGTGGCAGCAGCAGTCTGTTGCAGCAATTAAACGGGAATTTCATTTCGGCGACGGCAAGTTGCCGCAGCAACACCAATAGAAGCAACACCCACGACAGCAGCAGCAACAGCAGCAACAGCAGCAACAGCAACATCAGCTGGCGAGGCCATGTGCAACATGAAAGTCGAAAAGAAAATGGCAATTGCTTTAAACTTGCACATCAGTCGACTGGAATTTACCCACCATTTGAAGAAATGTATTGTATATAGTTAAATAGTCTATTTGGTTCGAAGTAAAAATAAACTAATTTATTATAAGTGTTCTAAGCAAAATTATAGGAAGTTTTTCCTTTTAAAATTAAATATAATAAAAAAAGTTTTATATATAAAATTAAATTTTATTTAAATTAAACTAATTCTGATTTAAAAGGATTTTACAACAATAGTTATTATTAAATTTTTTAGACTTCAATTTACACTATTACATTAAAGACTTATTAAGAGATCGATTGAATAAATTTCCTCATCTCAACATATGCAATACTTTTCCCTATGTTCGATTCAAATTGCCAACTGTTGAGGCACAATCGAAATCTAGTTAACCCATTAAAGCCCACCGTGCCCCATTGGGCTTGTATTTTGTGTCCTTGCCCAAGCAACTTAGCAACTTGTTTACCCAGCAGGCAGTCTTCGAGAGTGGAACTCAAATATGTACTCGGTAAATGCATAACGGGGAAGAACAATAAGCAAATCGTTAAGATTGGCAAACTTTTCACCGTACAATTGCAGGCAGTTGGCCACCGAAACACTCACAAACAAGGAGCCGGGAAAAAAATACACTTCAATTCGGTTCACTGGATGCAATCATAAACATCGTAATTATTACAACCTACTAATATGTCAAATCAGTTTTTTTTTTAAGCCAAAATGTTTGTGAATTATAAGTTATAACATATATTTATTCTGCTATTGAGTGTTTTATTTCATTATATGTCGTAGACCATTTTAAGTACTTTGGTAATAGAGTAGTTTTAAAGGATATTAATTTATTTGCCCGGACAATGAATATGGTATTAACATTTAATTCGATTGAGCAATAAAATTCAAAGGACTTTTAATAGTACTTTTCTGGCAAGCTCTTCTCCTGTTCTTTTCTCGATGCTACTTTCTCTGCACTTTCTTTCTGCCAGCGAAAGTTTACCTATCCTTGAGCTGTGGCTGTGGCTGTGGGTAAAATGTAGGTGCAAACTGCACGTCTTTTGCATCTGTGCGCGTGTGTTGTTGGCACAATTACACCCACTCTCCAACATCCCCGCCCATATTTCTCACATGGGAGCTTATGACTTAATAAATACTCCCCAGTGTGCGCAATGTGGCTGGCAATTTAATAACAAAGGCAAACGGCATCCGAATAAAAAGTAAAGCGAAATCCAGAGGGTACCATGTTCACTCCGTTTGCAAAGGGAGTGCCTTTGATTTACTCCACAAGTGCACCAAATGTTGCCAGGATTCCATTACGGTTTCCAGCGCATTGGGGTCATCCGGAAGTGCACCTTTAAACGCAATGGTTATTCGTGGGTAAGCCATGCTTTTGCTTACGACATTTGCTATTTAGTTTGGTTAAATAATAAAAAAGGGCTGTCATCTGAAAACAATTATACATTTGGGAATCTCGAGAGTATCTTTTTTTAGTGATTAGTAGAAGCACAAACCTGAGAATCGACAAATTATTCCTGCAAACCAAACCAAAGATCGGAAAAAACCAGATCACAGGAAATAAATGTATACAATATATAACAAATGTTTGTATGTACATTAGAGTGGACCAAGTTTGTGTGAAAATTTTAAGATCCTACTCTCGGTCGCTCAAGGTATGAGTTTTACTGCATTAGAAGCACTTTTCTTGGAAATGATCTGCGCAATGGATTCAAAGCAAATCACTTAAGATCAAAAAATGTATTCTAACTAATATATATGAGTCATTTTTACAAAAACTATGGGACGATTACCTAAAATTCAAATACATTTTTGTTGCCCACAAAAATCGACCACATTAAACAGTGAAGTACAATTTTTTTTTTGACCACCCTAACTTGAATATAATTGTTATAATCACTCTTTTGTTACTTTCAATTTACATACCAACAGTTATAGAACACTTGAACACTGTATATAATATACAACATATACTAGCTTAACATATATTTGTTTTTTAAATAAACTTCAGGGTGAACAATAAATGAGAGAATTTTAATTCTCAATACATTTAAGCCGGAAAACTCAAATACGCATAATCTCAAAGTTTAAAGGTAGTGCGGGATTAGGACCTTACAATTTGCAAACAAATCTAAACGCATATAATCTTTATAAAATTGAAAATTAAAAACCTGTCTTGCTGAAATATTTACCAAGATAATAAAAGGCTTTGCAAATAATGTTAACTCTTAAAAGTGGCAATAAATATCTAAGGTCACAATTTTGAGAAAGGGAAACGTATTTTGTAGCGCGTTGTTGGTTATAGGATTATAAAGAATCACTTTTTAATTATTACTGCCCAAAACTTCCTGCGATTTAAGATACCACATAGAGGGGATATTTTTTTTTCAATTTAAACAAAAATACATATATTTGTGATTCAACACCAAACTAAACATACAACTAGGTCAACAAAAAGGGGTGAAATCAGGCCACGTTTAGTGGTGGTAGGCGGGAACGGCATAGGTGGCCACTGGAGCCACGGTCTTCACCACGGTCTTGACCAGCGGTTCCCGGTTGACCACGGCATTGAACCCGTTGATGGGATCGGCGGTGTACTGGACCGTGCGCTTGAATCCATCGGAGTCGATCAGCGAGTACTCTCCGCGGACCACATCCCCGTCCCGCTCCTCCACCTGGCTCTTGGAGTCACCGGACAGCGAGTCCTGCACATCGTAGGCGTACTTGTACTGCGGATGCGGATCGTACTCCTCGTCGCTCTTGGCCAGCACCGGATGGGCCACGGTCTTCAGGACGGCGGGAGCAGGGGCGGCATAGGTGGCCACCTGGGCGGGAGCAGCATGGTACACCTGGGCGGCGGGCAGGACGACTCCGGCACTAGCGGCGGCGATCAGGGCGAGAAGGGCCACAAACTGCGAGGGTTCACGAAAAAAAAATATTTACTAGATACTCATTGACTTGTGGGATTGTATATAAGGAGTCGATAATATAGGTATAAATATAATACTAAATATATGACCTTTAGGCTTTTAAGTTTGATTTCTATAACTGTAGTCTAAGGACTTTTAATAATAATGGTTTATTGTGATATTTTTTAATATATAAATTTTATTTACCCCTTTTATTTATTTTATTTTATTTCATATTAAAGTTCTAATTTATTTATAATTTCTTTTAAATATACTCCCTGGAAAGCCCATCTTGAATTAAGTTTATTTGTATACTGAAGTTCTTATTAATTAATCCTTCAAAAATATTCCTTATGATCCTAGTAAACCCACCTTGAATGCCATTTTAGGAGCTTGATTTGAAGACTGGAAGTGGAGTTGCTTAAGAGTCGAACGCTAGATGCTGTTTGATAAGAAACACAGCCGACGATTCGCCTTTATACCCAAAATGGTTGACCGTACTTACCTCTCATTACTCAAATCCCCACAAAGCCCGAAAACCAAAACCCGAAACCCGAAAACCAAAAACCCAACCCAAACAAAGTAGCGCCCAAGGCCGAATTGTACCTTTTGTGGGGCAAATCAAGCAATCGGCCACACTTGGCAACCAAGAAATAATAATAATATAATAATAATACCACATGTATAGTATGTGCCAGTTAAAATGACATTCATTCAGAAAAAATATGAGCTATCGCTGGTTCATTACCAGTGTGGATATTTTGGCAAACCGGTCTGGCCAACCACTGTCCAACCAAGTTAATGACAACAATTCTCTCATTTTGCTTTTAGCAATGACATAAATCGAAACAGATTTGACAAAGTAGCCAGCTCCGTGCAACCAACTAGCCAATGTAATATTTTAATCATTACCCTGCGACTTCGGGCATCCCACTTGTCTTGGCCTGTCATTTTCAGCTGGGCAATCCAGAAAAGACGAGTCATGGCTGAGAATTTGAGTGATTGCTGCAGCTGGAGTCATCAAATGAAGTTTACAAGAGCAGCCAACAAGTTGAAAATATATCTTGGGTTGTAAGTACTTAAATACCCAATAATTGTCAGGCATATAATTTTTATTGGGTATTTATGGACACAAAAACTTGTTAAATGTACTGTATACACAACTATATATCATATATTAAGCTTAAACGTTTAAATAAAATTTAAAAAATATATTCTGCCAATTTCTGAAAGGGGTAATAATTAATGAAAGTCAGAAAACTTAAATATTACTTTGATTTTTACAGACATTAAAACTTGTTTAATGTACTCTAAAAAGAACTATAAACATTTTATTTAACTAAAACCTTTAAATACAGTTTCAAAATATTCTGCCAATATAGACATATCATGACAAATATTTGTTTTGTTTTTTTAAATACTTTTAAGACATATCTTTTTTTGCAGCCCCAAAACTTTTTTAATTTACGCCAGCAATGCATACTTTTGCAGCAGATTTGAATTAAGTTCAATCTTTAAATAAAATAAAACGTAGGTTTTTCTGAAAATTCTTTGTGCAGCATATTAAATCTTAAGTAAATACCTGCATGCTCTAATATCTGTTACACTTTACCTATGACCTACATTTTGGTCAAAGAAAATAAACTGAATTTTAGGGCAGCAAGTCTGTGAGTTTTGTGAATTTATTGGAATAGGCAGACAGGCAAACTTGACGAAAAACAAAACATACGCCCACTCCGAGTTTAATTACGAATATGAGTGGTGGATTCTGATGGGATATAGGGATTGGTGATTGGGGATTGGGGATGGAGATGGAGATGACGATCCTTTTGCCAGCAGGAGGTCTCTGCTAATGGTGTAAATGGTGCGCAGCCTTGGCTAAATATCCGTTCTATCAAATTCAATTAAAGTTGACATGGGTTCACAGCTGGCCCGGGGACTGCAACTGTATTTGGGTTTTTGGGAGCCGGATTCTGTCAGGTCAGGTCAGGTTGGCTTGAATTCCCCTCCCCGCCCCCTAACTCCCAAGCCAAGAATCCAATTTTTGAATCAATTTCCAACGACAAACACACACGGCCTACCGAATCAAAGGAAATACTTACGGCGGCAAAAGAAAAAGTGGCCAACGCCCAGGCGTAACAAGGCAAACGGAAAAGCGGAGCAAAAATCGGGGAAAAGGTTTCGTTCTGCCACAAGGCTTTTCACTGTTTTCCTTCTTTTTTTTTTCGTTTTTTTTTGGGGGGCAATTGCGGCGCTATGTTGCTTAAATTAAAACACAGGCAGAAGTGGGGAGGGGGGTCAAATTTGCAAATGCCTTTGGATGGAAAGTCCGGGGCAATTGTGAGAGAGATCGGGCCAGGGACATGCACTCGGGTCATGGCCCCAGGAAAACGCCAGGAAAACCCCTGGAAAACCCCCGGCCAAATCCCCCGTCCAGAAACTGCCCTTCTGTTGCTGCTCGCTGAGTGTAAATTTGCTCGTTAAATTTGTTGGCACTCTCGACTAATTTGCACTTGTAACGCAATGGTCTGAGTTTTAGTGGAGGCCTTCAAGGGTGGCGGCTTTCCAAGGGGTTTTTGCGTTTTGGGAAGGGGGGTGGGTTGCATCAGGCTAATTGAAAAGACGATGGCCAGCAGCACATCCCTTGGCCCCCTCAAAGTTCGCAGCTAAACAGCCCCAAGTAGCTGCAGATCGGCCATGTGTACGCAGAAAAAATAAATCAAGTATTTAGCACTCACAAACTGCAATGAAGCACTTGAAAGTTGCGGAGAAACGTAAATGGCTATCTCAAAATTAAAGGCGCCAACTTAGAGTTCTTACGAATTTAAACACTAATTAGCATTCAATCATTTTAAAAACCAAAAGTCTAGTTATATCTTAAATTTAAGATTTGTTGATTAACTTACGAAGTGTAATTCTATGTTTCACTTAAGGCATTAGCGATTTTAAAATGTTAGATAAATAAAAGATATTTTCGTTTATAATTTTGTATTGGTTCTAATAAGATGATATCATATATGAAATATATAAGTGATTTTCAATTATATTAAATATAACATTTGATTATATGCATATCCGAACTCTCAACATTCGATTTAGAGAGAAATTTAAATAAAATTAAATTTAAATTGATCTCAAATGATATGTTCGCTTGTAATCCACAATCCAATTTTTTATATATTTTATTAACATTTTTAAAATTACTAGATTATTAATGAGGCACTTTTTTTTGTTCCCTTATATATTTTATACGAAATAAGCCCCTTTTTTTCCTCAGTGCAGGACACAATAGCACTTTGTATGCAGGTCAGAGGCGAAAACAGAAACAGGAACAGCCAGACATGCGTATGCAAATGTTAATCAAAGCGAATCATTTGGCAGGACAGGTTCATAAGTTTGTCCGCTCCCTGGCCCTTAACCCACCATCGCCGGCAGGTGTTTTTTGGGCCTTGCCAAATGGAAATATGAATAATTGACCCGCATTAGACGGTATTGTTGTTTCGTCAACAGGAAATCAGTTGGCAGATTAATCGTGCGGCATTCATGGCAATAACCAGACGATTGATGGCCGGGCATATTGAGTCTTATCGACTGCGCACTAGGGTGCACTGAAAGTTTGGGGCATCCAGATCCAGCCCAGAGGATTACAAGCCCCGAAATAGTGGGGCCTGCCGAGCTGGGGCTCATTATTATGCAGCTCATGAGCTCATCGTTAGTGGCAAAGTTATATGAGCATACATCAGCCATGCCGCACAACTTTGCAACACCCGCAGGAAGTCCTAAACTCGACGAGGTCGAGGGGTTAAAAGGGGTTGGGGCTGGGCGGATTGGACTGGTGGTGCTGGTGGTGGTGAGGCCTCAGTGGGTTAAGGGGGCGAGCTGTCGAGCGGCGTCTGGCAAGCCGGAAAGTGTTAAGCACAATGAAGTAAATGCTGCCAACTTCTGACATAGACGGCATCTCCCCCTTAACTTAAATCCAAAATGTGGGGGAGAAAATCCCCCTTCCCTTCCCTTACTCTCCCTTCTCCTCCAAACTCGTATCCGTTTCAAAGCTTTTCCGAATTCGCCGCAGGACTTGTTAAGGCGAAAAGTAAAGCCAAGAGGTTTTTCAAAATATGGAAAATCTTAACCTTTTATTTATATTAAAAGTTAAAATAAATATTATTTGTTGTTTAAATACTCAAATGTTTTTTTATATATATATATATATATTTTTTTGTTGTTATTCTGAAAAGAAAATGATTTAAATAGGTAATGAAAATAACCATAAATAAAAAAAAAATAATCAAAAATAGTTTGAATAGCTATACCAGATACTATTTGTATGACCGTATACGTATTTAACAGTTAATAAAATCATAAGTTTAATATAACATGTTTGCTAATATCAAGACAGAGTTTGGGTTATTATATTATTTAATTCTCAAGCAAACAACAATTTCTTTTTTAAATTAAATATTACGGATTACCTTAAAAAAATTAAGAACTATTCGGCTCAGTGCATGCCAAATTTTTCTGTCATTATTGGCCACGTGTTAGTCTCATCTTTCTGCGATTTTCTTTGATTCACTGAGAGTGGACAACTGATGAACTCTGGGCGTGGGTGACAAGTGGACGGACTTAGGGCCATTTGATGATGTGGCATTCTGCCACGACGGTGCCACATCATAATGGCCAAATCAATTATCAATTCCGAGCCGATTTCATGTGAGTTATTTGTGGATCGAATGCGAACTAATGGCCCCGAAATGAACTCGAACTGGAACTGGGAATGAAAGTGCAAATCGAAATATATTGCGGTTTCGGGCAATATGGCAAGGACATTGCTTGATTTATGGCCAAGCACATTTCCAAGTCGATGAAAGCGAGTGCAACTTCAACCCCGGTATCCAGTTGAATTTTTAGACATCCACATCCACATCTACATCCTGGCCCTTTGGCATTTTCAACATTTTCAGCCTTTTGGGCCAAAAAAGGGCGAAACATCAGTTGGTTCGGTCAGCAGAATGCATCCCTCGAGTGCAGTTGGCAAATTGCACGGGAAACGTCGCTGGGAATGAGTTGCCAACTGGCGACTGGCAAACAGGGGTTAAGGCGGTTTCTGCTCCGCTGTGGCCACTCAATTTCGGTGCTGGCCAGCGGCGTGCACTGTGCCAAAAAAATTGGAAACGAAATTGTCAAAAAAAAGTGTATTTTTTAAATTTAAAAAAAATTTAATTGTTATTATCCGCGACGAAAAACTTTCATTTTCTTTTCTTTTTGTTGTTATTAACCAAAGCATAATTCACCACTTCAGAACTTACTTATTTTTTGCAGTGCATAACGCCATGCAATTAGCAACAAATTGAGGGGGATGTACTGGAATAAAAGTGCAAACAGTGGGGTTTGGAATCTGGATCTGGGTCTAGACTTTGAATTGGGTTGTACTTTGGTTGGGATTCGGATTGGGACTGGGATT